TGGGCCCTTTTGGGGAAATATATTTTTTTGGGGTTTTTTTGGAAAGAAGTTTAATGATGGGGGGTCTTTATGGAACTTGGGTTTGGGGGGATAGGGGGGATTTCCCCTTAATTTAATTTTCTTCCTTAAAGGGAAAAAAAAAAAAAAAAAAAAAAAACATAAGTATTAATATGAATATTACCTCAGATGCATGATTCATTTTTTAATTCTTTAAATTATTATTACTTATTTCTATTTTCCTACACAAGAAAATTGGAGAAAGAATTGCTTCAAATATGTCTACTGCATCACATCATGGTGCAGGGGCTTTCGTAGACTGGCTCCCTCAGTACTGTACAGCAATGGTAGGGAGGGAAACCATACGGCGGCAGCGGCGGCGGAAGCCAGCCCTCCACCGCCACCGGCGGAGACTCGGCGGGTGTTGCACCTGCGGTGGTGGCTGCAGGCTGTTCTTCTTTTTTAACCTCGCCCACACTAAGCAGCTCAGCATGCGCCACGTTCTTCCTGAGCTGCCGAGTTAACTCAACCGAGTCGATCCCGTCGCCCACTAGCTCCACCTGATCCTTGTCTTGCCCCGTTACAGTCACCGATTCAACGCCTATATATAACACCCATAAACAAAAATTATAATAATATTAATATATTAATAATAATAAATAAATTATACTAATTATTTTTATATATTATTTGTGATGTACGTACCTGATATGCCAACAGCGTTTTTCAAGGCCTTGGAGCGACATTTGTCACTATGAATTGACATTTTAATCACAATCTTTTGCTGAAATTAATATTCGACATATCAATTCAACAAATTTCAAATATTCATAAAAAAATTAACGAATTAAAAATTCAAAATAAAAAACCGAAAGGTAATAATTAAACAAAAAAAAAATAGAGAAAAAAAAAAAAAGAAATTGCAGTTTTTTACCTTCATTTTTTTCGTCTGATCAAAAGTATGGAATGGGAATTGGACTAAAGAGAGGAGAGAGAGAGAGAGAGAGAGAGAGAGAGAGAGAGAGAGAGAGAGAGAGAGAGAGAGAGAGAGAGAGAGAGAGAGAGAGAGAGAGAGAGAGAGAGAGAGAGAGAGAGAGAGAGAGATTAGTTAGTACGAAAAATGGGAAGAACGAAGGAGTATTTATACAAAATAAATAATTATCACATAAAGTGGCTGGTTATTGACATTTGACTCTACGTCAACAGCAAAGTAGTCTTTCCAATAGACTTTTTACTTTTATTTTTGGAATAAATATAAGGGTAAATAGCATTTAACCCCCCTGTGGTTTCCACGTTGTGCACTTTACCCCCCTCTGATATCAATTTAAGCATTTAACCCCTCTGTGGTTGTCAGTTTGTAGCGGCCGTCTAATAATCCGTTAAAGTTAATGGCAAGTGCATCTCACTCGACCAAAATTGGAGTGGTTGAAGGTTTTGCAAGCTAAAATTTCTGATAATATCCATATTGCCCATTTTCCTTCAATAAAAACCCATACACCAATCTCTCATTTTTCTTTAATTAAAAAAACAAAATAGATTTTTTAAATTCTATACTACATAATTTTTTTTAATTTTAGATTAATTACAGTTTAAATACATATATGACCTCTTCTACAGCTAATAATCATCATCTGCTATGTTATGGGTTATGAGATGAAAACAAATTTATTAAAAAATATATTTTTATATATATATATATATATATATATATATATATATATATATATATATATATATATATATATATATAATAAATCAATTAAAAAATTAGAAAGAAAATCCCTAAAACATCAGTTACAAATAAAGGTTTAAATAATGGCTGATTGCCTAATCAAAAATACAAAACGAAAAAATTAAAAAAAAAATAATCAGCTGACTTGCTCCCAAATCAAATCCAATCCCACCACCAAAAAAGACAGCCCCTGAAACAGCAAGTAATAGAAATGAATCCCTTGCGCCGACAACAAACTCCTCGCCGCTGCCGTCAGCAGCAGAAACGCCAGCGCTAGCTCAGTCCTATAAAGCCTGTTCTTCTTCTTTTTAGTCTTCATCGCCGCCGGCCCCACCACCGCCGCCGCCGTCGCCGCCACCTTCACCTCATTCTGCTCATTAATTTACCGAGCATTTCCAGCCCAGGTTCCGACAACCTCCTCTGAATCTTCTCTTCATTAGCAGTCTTCGATTCTCTCTCGGCCAAGCTCACCAAACCCTAGGAATCTGAGATGTTCGCCCGAGAAGGAAAAAAAACTCGAACAGTGGTTTTGTTACATGAAATCTTTGGGTTTTTTCCTCTGTTTCTTGTATGTAATTTTCTGAGTTTTCTTGGAATGTTATTTTGTTGAAGGGGTCTCGAACAGTTCAAGAGGATTTGAAGGCGAGGAGAAGAAGCAATTCTGATAATTGTACATTTGTCCTACAAATTTGTATTATTTCTAATTTAATCCAATTGAATTTTTATTTATTTATAAAAAGAAATATAATGGGGTAGTTCAGATATTTAACCTTTTCTGTTAACTTTAACGGAATATCAAACGGCCGCTACAACTTGTCTGGGGTAAAATGACCAAATTGATTTCAGAGGGGGGTAAAGTGCACAACGTAGAAACCACAGGGGAGTTAAGTGCTATTTACCCTAAATATAATCAATTAGCATAAAATGCCCTGCTTTTCTCATATAAATCTTGTAAGTAGCATTTAATTAATTTTCCTATTTTCTTTTCAATTCTAAAATTTTATATGGACCTTTATTTATATATATATATATATATATATATATATATATATATATATATATATATATATATATATATATATATATATATATATATATATATATATATATATATATATATATATATATATATATATATATATATATATATATATATATATATATATATATATATATATATATATATATATATATATATATATATATATATATATATATATATATATATATATATATATATATATATATATATATATATATATATATATATATATATAAGGTTCATATAAAATTTTGATAATAATATGCGTATCGACACACCATTAAAAATAATTACTATGACTATGTACAAGAAGTTAGATTGTACACCTGACTATTTACATTGAATGGATTTGAACCGTATATTTAATTAAATAAATACTCACTAAGTACACATATACATGAGTGTGTGATTATGTATAGATTTACGGTTCAAATTCATCAAGTGTAAATAACCAGATGTTACATCTAATTTCCACTTTATCTTATTAACAAAAGAAAGGTTCCAGGAGAAACCCTAGAAAACCCTAAGGTCAATTTTTCCCGCTCATTTGGAGGATATCTTATAATGGAATTAAATTTAATTTTCTAATCCAATTTTTTTTTCATATTATTAAATTTCGTATAATCTAATAATTAAACACCTAATTAAATATTAATTTCTACTAATTCTTTAACTAATCTCCTAAATATTGGCATAATTCTAAATTAATTTTCCGTATAATCTAATAATTAAACACATAATTAAATATTAATTTCTACTAATCTCCTAAATATTTAATTTTCTAATCCAATTTTTTCATATTATTAAATTTCGTATAATCTAATAATTAAACACGTAATTAAATATTAATTTCTACTAATTCTTTAATTAATCTCCTAACTATTGGCATAATTCTAAATTAATTTTCCCTATAATCTAATAATTAAACACGTAGTTAAATAGCACAAGTCTAAATTAGTTTTCTAATACTATTTTTTCATATTTTATTAAATTTCATATAATCTAATATTTAAACACCTAATTAAATATTAGTTTCTACCAATCCTTTAACTAATCTCCTAAATATTGGCATAATTCTAAATTAATTTTCTAATACTATTTTTTCATATTTTATTAAATTTCATATAATCTGATATTTAAACACGCTAATCATTGAACTAATCTCCTAAATATTGGCATAAGTCTAAATTAATTTTCTAATACTATTTTTTCATATTTTATTAAATTTCATATAATCTGATATTTAAACACGTAATTAAATATTAATTTCTACTATTCCTTCAACTAATGTCCTAAATATTGGCATAAATCCACACATTTTCAATGACACGGTTCCTTTATTTTTTTATCACACGTTTCCCCAAAGACTTATCGGGAACAATAATCTAATGTATATGTATATCTTAGAAGATCCGTGGATATCTTTTAGGTTTTCCCCACAAACTCTTTATAAGCACTCTTTATAAGTATATTTCTCTCTATATCTCTCTCCATCTCTCCCTGTACTTGCTGCTCCAACACCTCAGGTAAAAAAAGCCATGTTCTTTTTAACGTTCCCTTGCTTTGGTCCCTGTTATTTAATCTGTTTTCACTTGCTTCGGTCTCAGTTCGTTTGCCCAATTTCACCCAAATCTTAAATATCCTGATTTTTGTTTCATTGAAGGATTGAAGGATTTTTATTCATTGAAGCAGTTATGGCTCCACGAAATTCAACTACACAGGTTTCATTGCTTCATGAAATTGATACAAGCACTATTAATTGGAAGATAATTGTACTGGTAATTCGTCTATGATTAGTGCCAGATAGGTGGAGAAAAACAGAAACGGGTAGCATTGAAATGGTTTTTTTGGATGAGAAGGTGATGTTTTTATTTTTCCGAATTCTTTTCTATTTATTTATTTTTATTTTTATTTTATATTCCCAAATATTTAGGAGCTAACTATTTTATTGATTTTGTAACAGGGTATGTGTATTCATGCTATCTTAAAAAAGAATCTCATTATGAAATTTAAGGAATTGGTGAAAGAAGGCGAAACTTATATGTTTCAAAATTTCTTGGTGGGTGATTCAAATTTACCATTTAGAGTATCTACGTACAGATTTAAGCTCAATTTTGTCGGAATGACTGTAGTTACTAATTTAGTAGCCGAATATATTCCGACAACCAACTTCAAGTTCGTTTCTTTCGACACAATAAAGAAGAATGTGGAATATTTACTATTTGGTACGCAATTGTTTCATATAACTTAGTTTGGTAAATGTTTGTTCTGTCTTACCGTTAATCACTAATATATTTGTGTCGTCTGTATCACAAGGGTTATGTAGAAATCCTCAGTAATCAAAATAATGTTGCAATTTGATTCAGTATATAACTCTGGTACATTTGATTTAATTTATTTATTTGTACAGATGTAATTGACCATGTGGTAGAAAAGAGGCATAAAAAGGAGATCACTACAAAAGGAGAGAAAAGCAAACTTTTGGATGTTATTCTGCAAGATTTAGAGTAATTTAAATATTATATTTTTTTTTACAATTTTTATATGGATTTATTCTTATAATATTTTTAGTAATTTATTTTACATTACAGGAAAAATACAATTAAATGTACTTTATGGGAAGCATCTACTGAACAAATTGATGCATATATAATGAATGCCGACCAAAATGGACCTACTGTGGTCATACTTCAGTGTTTCAGGGCTAAAACTTATTGTGGTGCGTGTTAATATTTACATACCCCTAATATTGATGCAAATTTAGGAATTTGTTAAAATATTGATGCATATTTTTGTATATTATTTCACCTAAAATCATATTTAGGAAGCACGAGTTTGTCAAATGTTGGACATGGATCACAACTACTAATCTAACCAAATTTGAAATAAGTTTTAGACTACAGGTATATGTACTAACATTTGATCATTCAACTTTTAATATATATATATATATATATATATATAATTCTAACAACTATTCGTATTTCGTAACAATATTTAAAGACTTGATATTTTAATTTTACTTTTTGCTTCCATATTACTTATATGTCAAAATATGTCATTATTATTTATAAATACTAGTAACTTGACCCGTGCGATGCACGGGATTGAACAAACTATCATTACAATCATTAAAAAAAATAGAAATAAAAACTATATATTGAATATTTTACTGGAAAATCTAATAAAACTCTATCCACCAAAGAATTAATCCGGCCACCAACAGAGTAGTTGTTTTCAACTCTTGAGCATATGTTACCTGCACCGTAGGACAAAATGAAAGAAAAAAGAATTTT